CCTGTCCTCTCAAACCAGCCGGTCGAAGCAGATGTTCGCTCGTCCTGGGTCTGGTTCTTCTGGAGGTTTCTTCCTGTTAAAGGGAGTTTTTTCTTCCCACTGTCTCCTCTGTTCTTGCTCAGGACGAGAGACTGTGATGAAGTGAAGATTCAACACAACCTGCTGCTTCATTAGATAAATAACTTTTACTGATTGTTTTTATAATGTTTATGAATGTTTCTGTTTGTGCCCTGGGACGACTTCTGTGAGTTGGAGCTTCAAACTGCATTGAGTTATAAAACGTCGTGTTCCTGCTGGAATCCACATGAAAAATCTTTGGTATTCCCCATTTCATTCCAGCTTTAATCCACACTGAGGTCATTGCCTGCTTGCAGGAGTCAGAAAGAGGAGCAGCAGCTCCTGGTGGTTCACAGAAGAGCTGCTCCTGCTCCTGCTCCCTCTCCTGGTCAAAGGCAGAGGAAGATGTTTGCATTCTTCAGATCTAGATCTACATTTCAACTGATGTTGGCTCAGCACGGTGAGAAAAAATAAGCAAATTAATGAAAAATGTATTTTTAAGGATATCTTAAAAGAAAACTAATAAGAAAGTAAAAACAAAATTTGTTAAAAACATAATTAAGGAAATAATGTAAAATCCTACATTATCTTTTATTAATATAAATGTGTTTTTTTTTCTGTACTTTAGCTGAGAATTGCAAATGTTTTACTTTTTAGGAGTAATTTGTGACAACTTAAAACAATGTTTTAAAGAGTGAAACATTCTTCTTCTTTTTTTTTTTTACTAACTGTGCAGTAAATATTAAAAAATAAAATCAGATCTATATTGTTTCTGTGTTATCTCTATAATGTTTAGAAATTGAGCACAATGCATTTAGCATGTTTCCCTAAAAATGACTCTGATATTATTAGCCACACGCCTTTATTCACAACAGCACGGTTCATAAAACCCATGAATATGTTTGAATTTCCTGACAGTGTAAGTCAAAATCAGCATCTTTCTAAAGGAGAAAACACGTAAAGTTTATTGTTGAGGTAAGAAGCTGAAAGGAAGCGAGTTAGATGACAGCACGATGTCAAGCGGCCTCCTGCCAGATGTTGTGCTGCTGTTTGTGTTGCACCGTGTTGTTCGTGACGCTCTGCACCGTGCGCTCAGTCCTTTAACGCCGGCTGCTCAGTGGTCGCAGCCCAGCAGCTCCTGAGGAACCCTGTGCTGAATGGGCAGCATCCGGCCCGCAACAAAAAGCATGGTGCTGGCGAAGCGGTAGAAGTGGTTTCCTACGACGACTTTAAGCCCGTCAGGGCCGCACATGACGCCGTCGACCTTCTTCAAGACGGACAGGGGACGCTGATTGGTTGCAACACGAGGAGTAACCGACATGTCCACGTCATATATGTGTTTATCTGATGGGGGGGTGACAGGGAGCAAAATATGTCAGCAGATATGATTAGGAAACACGAGAAAGTCAAATATTTTGTGGATTTGAACAAGCTGTTGATAAATCAAAATATATTTAACTTATTGCTTAGCGGTCAACAAACACGAGGCATTTTAATTCAAAGTTTTCTGACTAAAATAGTCAGTAAACTTTACTACGTTGCTCTGAATCATGTACCTACAACAGGAACACTGAGGCTGAAATGGGTTTTCAGGTCATCTACACTTGAGACCTGATTAAAGAGTCGCCCTGCTGAGAAAACTGAATCCATCCATCCATTATCTTTACCCGTTTATTCCATTTTGGGTCACGGGGGTCGCTGGTGCCCATGTCCAGCAATCACTGTGCGAGGGGCGGGGTACACCCTGGACAGGTCTCCAGTCCATCACAGGGACACATAGAGACAAACGAGACAAACAACCATTCACTCTCTCACTCACACCTAGGGACAATTTAGAGTTACCAGTCAGCCTAACATGCATGTTTTTGGTCTGTGGGAGGAAACCGGAGTACCTGGAGAAAACCCACGCATGCACGGAGAGAACATGCAAACTCCACCCAGAAGGCACCTGGACCGGGGTTTGAACCAGGGACCTGCTCGCTGAGAGGCAGCAGCTCTACCAGTTGCACCACCGTGCTGCCCCAGAAAACTGAATGATGACCATAATTAATAAACCATCAGCGGAGGGACTGGAGGCAGACACAAGGAGCTCAGATAAAATTAAACGTATTCATTAAATAAAACTAAAACTAAAGGCTGACAGGTCAGCCAGGGAGGACCGAGACATCTGGATCAGGAACGGTAGACGGGAGGGGACTTTATGAAACTCAAAGTATTTGTTGAATCTTCAACTGAATACATTTTAGAGTCAATTCATTTTAAGATAGCTACCGCGGCTAATTAAACTTTAGAAACACAAAAGTTACAATAAAAGTTAGTTTATACAGAGACTGAGCTCGACTTTGGAGGTTTAGTAGCTGAGACTCATCACCAGTGCAGACTCACAGCTGCGACGGACTGCGTGAGGTCTTTGTGAGTCTGCACAGTGGAAGTGCTGGTGACAAAGCTGCTGTTGGTTGTAAGTTCACGAGTGAGGGAACAACAGAGCGTGAGATTGATAGAAGGATTGATGCAGAGTCAGTATTGTGGACTTTGTACTGGTCCATTGTGATGAAGAGGGAGCTGAGCTGTAATACAAAGCTCTCTTTTTACCAGTCAGTCTACGTTCCTCCCTCACCTCTGGTCATGAACTCTGGTAGAGACTGAAAGAATGAGATGGTGGATCCAGGAGGTTGAAATGAGTTTCCTCTGCAGGAGCTGGACTCTCCCTCAGAGTCAGGGTGAGAAGTTCAGTTATCAGGAGAGACTCAGAGTAGAACCACTGCTCCTCCACATCCAGAGGAGCCAGTTGAGGTGGTTCATCTGGTAAGGATGCTCCCTGGACGCCTCCCTAGGGAGGTGCTTCGGGCATATCCGACTGAGAGGAGACCCCAGGAAAGATCCAGGACACTCTGGAGAGACTACATCTCTTTGTTGGCCTGAGAACACCTTGGAGTCCTCCCAGAAGAGCTGGAAGAGGCTGTGGAAAGAGATGTCTGGACCTCCCTGATCAAGATGCTGCCCCCAAGACCTGACTTCAGAACAAGAGGAAGATGATGGATGGATGGATGGATGGATGGATGGATGGATGGATGGATGGATGGATGGATGGATGGATGGATTTTTATTTGTTGGTGCTTCTCATTACACATGCACATTTTTTGAGAACAACCCTACAGGTGATTGGTGGACTTCCTGCTATCAGGCTGCATGATGGCTCAGTGGTTAGCACTGTTGCCTCACAGCAAGAAGGTCCTGGATTCAATCCCCGGTTGGACCTGGGACCTTTCTGGGCAAAGTTTGCATGTTCTTCTCGTGCTTGCGTGGGTTTTCTCCGGGTACTCCGGTTTCCTCCCACAGACCAAAAGCATGCATGTTTGCTGCCTTCAGGTCCGGGCCTCTCTTGCAAAAGAGATCTGTGATCTCAGTGGAATTTCTGTGGTTAAATAAAGGTTAATAAATATAATTTGTTCTTTGAGTCTCGTACCTTTGATGATGTGAGCGATGTGGTGGTCTGCACAGACGAAAGCAGCCTCGATGGGTCCATCAATGCCGAGCTCCTCTTTCACAGGCTTGGGATACCCGTCCAGATGTGTGTGGGGCTCGCCAACTCTGTAAACGTACAACTGGTTGTCCTGAAAGAAGGAGCGAGAGAGGAATGAGCGTTTTCCTCTTTAAGGTGACAGCTTCAGGGTGTTCCTGCAGGTTTACCTTGATCATGTAGAGATGATCCTGGTAAGAGAAAACGGCGTCCACGTCACTGTGCAGCTCCTTGAAGGCGTTCTCGATGGTGTCCACGGTCATGTTCTTGTCGGCGTCTTGGCGAATGAAATGATGGCCTGTAAAATAAAGAGAGTCCTTGGAGAGCTTGTAAAAACTGGACAACCAATGTCTGAGGACACAAGGACACCAGCAGGACTTCACAAACAACTTCAGTTTCATGTTGAAAAAATAAGTGGCATCTTGGGACACCTGTCAACTTTACCTTGTTAGCTGTTGATCCAAACTCAACCAAACTGACGTCAGAGGTAGAACTGATGTTTTTGTAGCCGTGCACATGATGGTTTACAGACTAGGAAAACTTGTGTCCCTTTGCCGAGGGAAGAGGGAAAATTGGAAACACCATGTGTTTGTCTGGCGAGCCAGCTATGTTGAGCCTGAACTTTAAACTTAACCTCCTGAAACCTGAACTTTTGTTCGGTGCATTTGTCTCTTTCTCCAAGGTACATAAGATTACCATAGTTTTCAGCCTATACGTCACAGTTTTTTGCATAATTTACATGCCCTGCGACTTATACGCCGAAGCAACTTATTTATGGATTTTTTCCATATTTATAAATTAATTTTTGGCTGAAATATGACCGTTTTCATTAATTCTGACTGAAAATATTGACCACTACCATTTTCAGCCACTAGATGGCACTTGAGTAGTATGGCATGCCATTGTGTCATGTATTAGGTCAGGTCTTTCAGGTCTCTCTTGTAAATGAGTCCTCGAGGCTCAATGGGATTTACCTGTATAAATAAAGGTTGATTGATTAGGTAAAAGTGGCTATTAATGACACAATGTGCTTGCCATACAAGCCACCTTCGTCCAGCTTGCTTGGAGCAACTGTCAAATCAGCTTCATTTTACTGTGCGAAATTCAGCTAATTTGACCATTAAAGTGCGTTTATCAAGTAAAAGTTCAACTGAGACACACCTTTACTATAAAGTCAAACTAACAAATAATTGTTTTAGGTGGTTATCTTGTTAAATTTCAAAGAAATGGACAGCAAGTCGCCCTCTTCATGTCCATAGTTCCGCGTATCGGCTTTTGAAAATGCAGCTAATTTCACCGTCAAAGTGCATTTATTAAGGAAAGTTCAACTGAGACACACCTTTGCTATAAAGTCGAGCAAACAAATAATTGTTTTTAAGTGTTAATCTGGTTAAATTATTTTTAAAGTCCTCCCATGCACGTCGGCCGCCATTTGGCAGCCAATCAATTTTTGGCACAACACCGGCCCACGTTTCCAGGTTGTCAGCGGTGACGCATAATAGATGTGACAAGTTTATGAATTTTTCCACTTTATTAGACACATGTGGACTGATGCGACTTGTAGGGAGTGACGTGTACGGCGGAAAATATGGAAGTAGGACCTAATAAGTTAAATAACTAGACTCTGTCATGGTACAGGAAGTGGTTTTAGAAGAAAAGGATGTCCTCATATGAGGACAGAAGGTTTATTTTATATTTTGTATTTTTCTTTTCATATTGGGGTCAGAAGGTGCAAATAACAAAATTTCAGCTTTCTATAAGCAGTTCTCTAAAAATAATAGATGTCCTCACATGAGGATGCTGGGTCTCTGATTCTGATCCCAGTGAGGTATCAACTTCCATTTTGGTTTGTGGCTGCATCTATAAGAAAGATGCTTTTAGAATATTATGTTGCCAGGTCAAAATCCAACATGATCGCCACCACATTTTATACATGTAAACCTTGTGAGCTGGATAAGAACTGGAGGGATAAAGTTGGATAGAAATTTCACAGACATCACTAAGATTTGTCAAAAGGTGGAGAAAATCTCTCCCTGTGGTGGAGCTCTGCAGCTCAGACGTACTTTACAACAGAAACATAATTTAAAGTGGGTGAAATTTGGACTTTCCACACCTGATCTGGTGTTTTGGCAGTTTTCTGCATTTTACACAATCCCAGAATGAAGCTTAAATGTTTTACCAAAGAATTTTCAATCTGCGATGAAGTCATTTTAAAACTTTAGCAAACAACATCAAATTTTACTAATTCTTGACATTTTTCTTTCACCAACAAAAATTATGTTTTAACATTCAAGGTTTTCTTTAAATCCCTTTAAAGTTTCAGAAAGTGCAACCAAACTCTTATGGACGTCCATTATTTAACTGCTAATATGTTTAAAACCTCATTTTTAAAGTATTTTTACTCATTCCTTCAGCATAACATAATAGATGTATACAAATTGATATTATGATGTGATGACCAATATAAAAACATAAATTTTTTATTATAATTTTTGCACTATGACACTATGACTATGACCATGTCAGGCCTGTGTGAGGCACGCTGCCACAAAATGCAGCAAAAACAGGAAACAAGGAGCGTGAACATATCAGTTTCAGGTTGGGTGCAAACTCCAAACCGTAAACAAAGTTTTCTCCACCTTTCCCATCTTGGTCTCATTCATGCCATCGTTGTCTAAAAACTGAAGTATTAACACAAAAATGTGTCCTGTCGTTGTGGTTTTGTAGAATCTGCAGCACCAACACAAGCATCTGCCATTGCTGCTGCTGTTGTTGCGTCAGGTTAGAAGTAGGCCAATGACATCATCTTGTTCAAAAGCCAGTATTTTAGTTGTCTACACACAAAACCTCGAGGGTGGCATTTCAAGATATGTTCTCTTTCTGGAAACTATTGTCAGTAAATAGTTTCAAAACTCCTAAAACACATTTTCTGTGTCGACACAAGGCTGAAACAATGATGTTCGATTGCACTGGTCTTATGTGGACTGACTATTCTGCAGTTGTACATTAAAGTACGTCACATGTACTATATAATTTAGTCCAAAATCAGTCACTTAAGAAAACTGATATAAACTGGACTTTTGAGAAGAGGCTGTAAAGGCACCCTCCAATTTTTCTTTGCAATTTCACAGCAAAAACGTAAAAGACGCTGAAAGCACCTATTAGCATGGATAAATAATCTTTATACGATTCACTAATTTAACCTGCAGGCACACTAATGTGTTCAAAACAACAAGATTTTCAAGGATGCATCACAAAATGAAGCTTCACGTAACTGTAAATGTCTCAGTCACGTGTATTCTGGTGCCATTTCTCACCTCTGAAGGCGTAAATGTTTCCAGCGTCGTCAGATGTGATGGCATCCAGGTGAACGTGGCTGCAGCGCTCTCTGTCCAGATGATCACCGTCAGGACCTGAGCAGCAGTCCAACACATTCAAACCCCAGCTTCAAAACCAAGTGACTCGTTTAAGAAGTTGTACAGACTTTAATGAAACAAAAGTGCACATTTCCCGTGTAATTAATGTTGAGTTAGTTCACTCACTAAACTTGGAGCATCTCACGAAGTAGTCACGACTCTCTTTGGGGTATTTTCCATGGACCTCACCAGTTTTTGGGTCAAACTTGGAGAACTTGTGACCGTGGAAGCAGTAGAAGTGGTCCAAATACCGGAAAGCCACAGTGCAATTGGGCATGTTCTTGAACGTTTGCTCTTCTACCTTTTTGCTTTTAAGGTTGAAGTGGAAGATCTCATGAGCTGGGGAAGAAGGGGTGACAACATGTAATTAAGTGCTTAGATGATGATTCCCATTTTATAGTTCATAAATAAAAAAAATCAGTCTGCCATCACTCAGTGGTAGGACATTTTAACTGTACATAAATTTAGGCCATACATAAGCAACATAGCAAATGTGGCGTCTGCTAATATTTTGAACCATGAGATCAGAGTGTGATCCAATGACAAACCCACACATACCCTTGAAGAAGATGACAGAGTCCTCTGCGCAGTTTGGATTCGGACACTCCACAGCTGCATCCAGATGGTTTGGGATTCCAGGAAAGACCTCGGAAATTTCCTTGGGATAGCCTACTTCCAGGTTGTGTTGGTAGTAGGCAAATACTTTGTTGTCCTGCATCAAACAAGTGCAAATACCAAAAATTAACCAAAAACATATTGCACAATCACAGCCAAAACATCCTCCATCAAAATTCTCAACAACAATTTAGCTTTAATGTGTTTTAGGAACTGGATTTTGTTTCTTTGGTCAATTGTCTGCCCACATTTGTTATTGGAGCTTCACACTTGATGTTCAGAACATTCCTCTCCCCGTCTATGCTCTCCTTGTTTTATTGTCCTCCATTGCAGAGCGAAGGGGAGGGAACTGGAAATAACATTCATTCATCCTTCCATCTGCCCGTCTGTGCATGTTCTGAGCACGATAACTTGGAAAATAAGTGAGGTACTGACTTCCATTTTGGTGTGTGACAACATCTAAATGTTAGAAAAGTCACTATTGAAAATTGGGTTGCAACATCAAAATCCAAGATGGCTGCTGCCATAGATGTATATATGCAACCATTGTGACCATACATATACACAGTATGTAAACTGACCCCCACTATGCGTTCTAGTTTAAAATTGTAGTATAGTTTCTTCAGATGATTGGAGTGGCTCTTATGGGCAAAGTATAATCTTTGGCCAAGGCCAGCACTGGCCACCTCCTGTCTCCCCTGATGATGAATAAAATTGCTGTCTCCACTCACACTCGCTCACTTTGTGCTGCCTCAAACAAGCAAAAATCAAATTAAATAAATTCATTTCCTCTGTTCTTCTACACAGTGTAACTCCTATCCACTTGAATATCTTGCACCAAGAACATGAAGGTCTACATGCATTCCCTGTTCACTTCCAGTTCAGGAAAACGCTCATCTTGAAAGCTACAAACCTTCACTCTTCATATCTCTCAGTGATGGAGGACATAGGTATACTGTATGTTTAAATCTCTTTATGGCTCATCCAGATGTCTTCTTAATGCTACGCTCTGTTCTGAACAGCTAACTAGGAATTGTTTATTATTTGAACGTTACCAAGAAAAGGAAAATGCGGTCGTGATGGGGATCGTCCCTGTTGTGCATACGGAAGGCAGCATCAACGTGGCCCAGGTGGTGATGGTCGTCCAACTCAGTAAAAGACTTATTGGCCAGCTCAGCTTTGCCACTGAAGCCCTTGTATAAGTACTGACCTGATGGGGAAACAGCATATGATCAAAACATGTTTGTTCCTCCACATTTTGTAGTGATTCGTAAAGTTGATAGGAATTTAAAGAATTGATTAATCAGACAATACAGAGTATTTACATTCTAACTTTCTTCAGACAAATAAAATAGACGATGAGTCGTCCCCACAACTGCTCATTTTAAGATTACCTTTGAAAAAGTAAGGGATTCCCTCTTCGTTCTCTGTTGCAGCATCCATCTGAATGCCCTTACAGCGATCCAACTTATCACCTCCTTCATGGTGATCCCCGTGCTGTCCATGGTGATCCACATGGTGTCCATGAGGATCCTTTTTTTGTCCATGGGAATCACCTTGATGTCCATGGGAATCACCTTTTTTCCCATGGTGGTCCCTGGTTGCACAGAACAGAAAACAGACAATAACTTAATGTCTTCTATTCATTTCGCCCACAGTTAAAATGCTATAAATTAAGGATCTTAGATGCAGTTAATAAAAGATGGACAATATCTTCTTTTAACAATGTATGGTTTGAAAGTAGGAGTTTTCCTGTAATAGAGTTGCATTTGTTTCATCTTATTCTTATTTTTGACACAAACAGGAAGCTTTTTATTTGAAAACTGTGATGCTGAGGTTTCTTGGTCACATCAAATGCATATTGTGTGCAATTTAAAGTTTTCAATAAACCAAAGTCTAAATCTTTCTTCACGAAATAAAGCTTTGAAGATTGACTTACTCAGTCTCCAAACTACAAAGTAAGTTTTTCAAGTGTACACTAGTGGTTGTCAAACTTTTCAATCGTTGACCCATAAAATAAAATCCTATAGACCTGTGAGCCCAACTAGCAGCCTACTGTTGAAGCATTGCCAGTAGGCCATTTGATTAAGAACCTTGTAAACGTTTTTGTGCATATGTTACCAATTTACTCTAGATGTGAAGGCTAAACAAGCTGCTTGGTCCCAAGTTTAAACTTAATCTGATTCTTCTGAATTCTTACTTGATTTTTGACGGCCCACAGTGAGGAGCCAACCTTAATTTTGGGAAAGAATTCCTGAAATTGTGTAAGCAAGCATTAATGATTTAATTTGATGCATTGCATCAATATAACCGCCTGTGCTTGCTTGGATTATGCAGTGAAGTGGAAAACACAACAAAGTTTTCCAACTTCCTGAAGGCTGTTTCTTTAACTTGGAATAAAAACCACTTACTGAGCCGATGCCAAAGCAAGGGCCAGGCAGAGACACAGGAGCAGCTTCATGACGAGGTATCCTCTGGTCCAGGAGACGCGAGCTGGGCTGAAGGTACAGAGGCTGCTGCTGCTGCATCTCCTTATATTCCCGTCCAGTTCATGTGGGTGGCACCACACCGCTCAGCAAATGAGGAGGTGGGAACAATGTGCAAAAGTAAGTTTATCCTGAACGCCCACGTTTGGGTTCGGAGTTGAGCTTCAGATATCTGAGGCAGCGGAGGGTCATCTACTTTAGGAAGCTCTATTTAAACCATGAAAATCAAATCAATAAATGAATACCTTGGGGTATTTAGATAAAACTCTGGCCGCACACAAGCAAAGTTTTTCCTGTACTTTATATGTTACTTTCAAAGCATTTAGCTAAAGTTACAATCTGTGATATTACCGTATTCACATTTAAACATCAGCATATTTCTGTAATGAGACTGAACATATTAGCACAAATTCTGCAGGTTCTCGTAGTAACAGCTTTAACAACCACTCACTTTTATTTTGTTATTTTATGTATTTGTTTTTATGCATTATAACATTTCCAGAATTTTCCACAAGTCCTGAATCAGTCTAAGACTGGCCCAGTTACTGGAGGTAACAACCTGGTTGCCCCCCCAAAAATAAATAAAAACTGTTGACAGCTACACTTTACACTGCTGACAACAAGTGTTGTGTAATATCGGTATGGTGAACATTAACCAAGAATTGTAGGTCGACTTTACTGATATTTTTTCTTCGCCACCACCAACCCCCCCAAAAAAAGGTGCTGCATTTTACAGCCCTGCATAAATAAGTATTCTTTTACCTATTTTATGTTTAAATATTGCCACTCACTTAGTCACCAAGTCACCTCTAACATGCATTGTAGTATTTTGAATATAATTAGTGTCAAAGGAAGTATTCATAAGTTTTACTAATTGGGTTTGTTCTCACTTGACGGTTTAGTAGAAACCTCTTACCTTGTCCTGAGCCTGGCCTTTTGGAGGTGGCAGGTGACTGCGTGTCATGGGTAACGAGTGCCGTGAGAAGGAAAATCATTCCTAGAGACAGTCAAGGCATGAGATGAAAACAATCTGAGAACATGAATCATGACAGGTTTCTATGTGCTCTATATTTAACTTGTGGTTTAAGTTATGATCATAATCAATGGATGGATGGATAGAGACCAAACATCTGGACCTCTTTAGTTTAAGAATTGTTGTTTCTCATCCAGGGAGGCCTCTCAGTTCAAAACCAGGATAACGTGGAGTTTCAAGGTGTTTGTTTAGTGCATGGCAGCACGGTGGCGCAGCTGGTAGAGTTGTTGCCTCTCAGCGAGAAGGTCACTGATTCAAATCCTGGTCTAGGACCTTTCTGGGTGGAGTTTGCATGTTCTCGCCGTGCCTGTGTGGGTTTTCTCTGGGTACTCCGGTTTCCTCCCGCCAACCAAAACCCTGCATGTTAAACTGATTGGTAACTCTAAATTGTCCCTAGGTGAGAGAGTGAATGGTTGTTTGTCTCTATGTGTCCCTGTGATGGAGACCTGTCCAGGTGTCCCCCACCTCTCACACAGTGATAGCTGGACATGGGCACCAGTGACCTCTGCAACCTGAAAAGGAAGAAGTGGGTAAAAAAGATGGATGGCTGTTTACTCCATTATGTAACCTAGAGTCACATGCATATTAAACCAGACGCCTCCCACAACGAGTCATCAGAGTTTGTGTTTACCTGGTATTGGGTTTATTGCTTCACTGTAGATTTTAGAAAGCTGAAATTTGAGACTTTAACCTCTGTTGGAAGTTTTTTTTTTCTCATTTGACCTAAATAGTTCCCATCACCCCACTTTCAAACCATCTGTCTTCTTTGTCTAAAATATGAGCGTTTTAGTCCCTTATCCTTGAGGTGTAGGTGCACGGCTGAGTCCTGTCCTGAAGAGCGGGGTAAGGAAATGATTTACCTCAAACAAGAAAGCGCTTGAAACTCCACACTCTCTGGTTTTAATAAATGAGAAAGTTTCAGTGATGGAAGAGAAACGTCTTCAACTGCAGAAGTGAAGTCAAATGGTTTATTTTAACTTGGATCCTTTACGTTGCATCAGTTTCAGTGAGAGGTAAGCTAAACATTTTAAAGATGCACTCCTGCCCCACCCTGACACCACCTAAAATGAGTAGATATGCATCACAAAATATTATTTGTACATTGGGTTGAAGTTAGGTTTGTCTGCTTAAAACTGCGCAGTCAACCTTATTACTCTTAAAGCCGCCACACAGCTAGCAGATGTTTGTTCCCTGTGGTTGAGCAAAAATTGGAATTCTCTCCGTCTATCTGTGAATACTGTGAACACAATAACTTAGAAAATCTTTGAGGTGTGTGGCTGTATCTAGACGTAAGAGCTTTTGAAAATCGAGCTGCCGTGTCAAAATCCAAGATGGTCACTACCATAAATGTCCATCAGTGTCCTGAGCAGGATAACTCGAAAAATTAAGCAACGTGCAACTTCATTTGAGTCTGGGCCGTAATCTAGACAATGAAACGGTCCTTCTTGAAAACTGGGTTGCCACACTAAAAACCAAGACGACCACTGCCACATATATTCAGGAATTATTATTTTCATGTCTCTCTCTTGCTAACCACCTTCCACAGGGATTCCTGCTGTTCCACAAGAAGGCTGATTACCCTTCATCCTACTTAAGGCTGAGTTGGACCATGAGTCCTGGCTGCACCGTTGATCACCTGTCAGGGGATTTTTGATCACAGGTTATGGATGTTTAGTTATTAATATTCTTCCCTTCTTCCCTCAGAACAAACAACCAAATTGTCTCCTGAAACCCTGTCTGATCCTGAACTGAAGAGATGCCTGTGAACCGTATCTGTGAAGGCCAAGAGTGCCGTGTGAGACTACAGCTGGCTTCAAGGACACCCTCTGAACCACCACAAACATTTGAGGAAACTTTGCTTTCTAGTGTTTATATTGCTCAAAAGTATAGTTTCCTCAAATGGTTGGTCTGACCAAAGATTAATCCATGAAGACCAAGGCCACCATTGTCCACCACCTGGCTCCACCGTCGCACCTGGTTGTAGGTAAAATTGCTACCTTCACTCTCCAGGATGTCGCTCTGTGCTGCTCGGACAAGCAAAAAAGTAAATATAAGGTTTAAAAAAACTGCCTCTATTCTTCTACACAGTGTAACTCCTATCCACCTGAATATCCTGCACCAAAACCATTAAGGATTACTCACATTCCCAGTTGAATTCCAGTACGAAAAACTCTTCTTGAACATGATAAACACTCACTATTTAAAACCCCTCGGCGACAGAGGGTATTGACATACCGCTTGTTGTTTTAGTCTTTCCAAAGAGTCCCCTCGGTTTTGTTGCTCACTGGAATGAATAAATAAATTAAACTGGATGCCAAACTACAAGCTGCCAATTCCTGGACCAGACAGATTTAAAGGAACCGTTGGTTTTCCAGCTAATAAACATGATTTTAAATGTTTATATCTACCAGCAGCGCAGCTCTGGAGGTTTCTTTGTGCATATGAAAGTTGTCAATGGTATATCTTCATTCATCTTTCTACAGATGTATTGCTCCTTCTCCTTTCACCCACTTTCTAGATGTCAGAGAGGCAAACATACACAAACAAGGCGAGTTAATGTTAAACAGCGTTGCTCCACACAGGACTGTGCACATGCACGTCAGTGTCTGGAGCTGGGGCTGCAGCCTTGACTGAGGGAGAGGACACTCGGAGTCTGTCACGTTGTCCACATTCTGCTGCCAGCACGTCTGAGGTTTCTCTTTACTTTGACCATGGCATCGAGTACAACTGCTGCTCTCAGTCTAAATACTGAAAACTGAAGGTTCAGAAGATTTTACAAGGTCATTACACTGAAGGGTAACACAATGTGTAGTTGTGCTAATATGTTCTTGTCCTCGTTCTTACCAAGGCAACTATCTGCAAAAAAAGTCTTATTTAACCATTTTAAATTAATACTGAACTCAAATCCCCAATCCCAGATTTTATTTGAGTATCAGCAGTAAATAAAAATAAAGGTATTTTATGAAGTAATGCAAAGGAAATGTTATCGGTTTGCACAACTTCAACCGTTTATGTTTGTAGGAAACTCCTTTTCAATAAGTCCTACATTTAGTTACATTTTGAATGCGTACACGTTATCAATACCTGGCCAGAGGAACGATCAGGTGCTAAATTAATGGCGATCCTCACCGCCTTTGTTGACCTCCTCTTGCATAAATGTATTATGATGTCATTGTATGTTGCTGTTTATGTTGCAAGGTCTTTTTGGCAACTTTCACACTGTGCCCCGGCCAGGACATGGTGTATGAAATTATTTTTTTTACCTCCTCCACCCTCTCGTGTTCTCTTTTCCTTATCTACTTTGTATGTCTGTGTGGAACAGTTCTCTCTTGTAAACGAGTCCTCGAGGCTCAACGGGAAATAAACTGTATAAATAAAGGTTGAATGAAAAATGGGATGTAGAAGACAACATTTTTATAGCAATTCAAGTAAATGTTGGTTTACTGATGCGTGTGGTGCTCACGATGTAAAATACCACTAAAATTAAGTTACAAATACATTTGTATATAGCAGTCAATAAACTATCAGGTGTAATGCTGTGAAACTATTTGAGGGCGGTGCCTAACTTTACGCATGCTTTTTTTCTCCTCTGGCTCTCGCTCAAGACGGACGCCTCTGCTCTCCCTCCCCCTGTTCTCCTCGTCCTCCTGCTCTTGCTCTCTGTGTGTCTCGGAGCTCCTGGTACACATCTCCTGAACAAAAAATACTGTTATGGATGTGGTGAGCTGGACTTTCAACGCAATCGACAACATCTTTTCAACAAAATGACAGAGTCCCGGAGAACCCTCTTGTCCAGCTGATGTGTCTCTCAGTTCTGTCTCAGGAGGACACTGAAGACATTTATATATTTGGAGTCATGATAGCAGGGTTTCTGTTCTTTGGCATTGAGGGGGTTCTGTTTTATCAACTTAAAGAAGACAACGGCAGCAGTTTTGGCCATGACAAAGCTTCCGAGTCAGTGAGAAGGTTTGGTTCATGCTATG